AATTCAGCCAGTCCCCAGTCAATGAGACGCAACTGAAACATGACAGCATTCAACAGTCATTTGACATCGGCCTGTTTGTCTATCTGTATACATAATGCTAATGAGAAGTATGCATGCTGCAAACGTCAGTGGCTTAATGAAACTTTAAACCTCCAACCTCCAAGGCTGTCTTATGCCAACATACAAATGTTCCTTTCCTAGAACTATGCAGCATTATTTTATACTTCCAACATACTTTCATCTCAAAAATCAATGTTGTTGTTTCTTATGTGAATAGACTGATTACCTTTCTGTGCTCATGATCAGTCATGATGTTGTGTGGTTTGACATCTCTGTGCATAATACCCATACTGTGACAGAAATCCAAAGCCTAGAGACATACGAAACATGAGATCATATCAAAACCTCTACAGCTATTACAGGAATCAAAAGGATCGACAATACAGAACTTCTAATCTGATGTACGTATCTAATGCCCTAGACTGAGTTTGATTTCCTGCATATTTCAAAATGTAAAATGCTAATTATAGTATGGGGTAAATGAGCAGTTTTCTAATTTTTACACAAATTGTAGTGTTGAATTCAACCTTTAACCAAAATGTTCTTACTAAACTGTAAGAAATGCCAAAAAAACATTTAATTATTTATTTAATTCATGGGAAATAGACATTTAAAAATCCCTAGAAACCATCATTTGTAAACATAAGCTAGTCTCTGGTGAACATTTATTTTTAAAAGAGTTTTCAATCTCACCTTCAGAATCTCATACATGTATAAGCGAATGTCTGTCAGTGTCTGATACAGTTGCTGAAGAAAACAAAGCAAAGCTGGAACTAATTATATAACAGGTTTTTGTTTTTGAGGTTATCGGAGATTGAGAATAAGGTTTTTACCTTAAAGTCTGTGTTGTTCACATGTTCAAAAACTAAGGCAGGTGTTCTGGACTGCAATGTGTAAAAAAAATAAAAATTTCTTCGGTATACAATACACTTAAGTGCTAAAATCTGTTTTTACAGTATAATTTGATTGTTATTTTTGTATTACAAATATCAGAAACCGCAAGGGTTCTGAATACTGACCACTGGGTCTTTGACGATGTCCAGGAGGGT